GATCAATGTGGGAGGAGTGTGTGAATCTTGTTACGGCCCCCTTAACATTTTGTATTAGAGACCTCCACTTCATTTATATCTCACCTTGACCCAGAAAGGATTTGAGGAGGGTTCCTGTTAGACTAAAGGTGTATCTCTCTGAGTTCCAGGTTGAATGTGGGGGACATACTCTGAGTTCCAGGTTGAATGTGTTGGGGACATACCCTATTTCTCTGTTTCTCTGTATCGTATTTATCTCCATAAAGCTTGGCCAGAGAACACATCTATCTAGTGGGCTGAATTGAATGCCACAGTCTGTCTCATCTTTCTTTGTCTTTTAGAGAATTCATTTGGTAGCACGTATTAATGGCTCTAAAGAAGTCATCGCTCTCCCTGGACTCCTCCAGTGATGCTGAGGAGTTGCCAGTATTTACCTTTCTGAAGAAGGAACCATGTTCAACAAAGAGGAGGCAGCCTCAGAGGGAGGAGAGGATCGTAGTGGTTCACACCTCAGATTCTGAGGCCTCCTGTCCTCCATCACCAAGGCGGAGAGATCCACCGCCCGTCCCAGACGCAGCTGAACCCATCACACAGACACAGCCAGTCAGGGTGCTGAGCAGCGGGAGTGAGGATGAGGAGGAACTTATTCCCCTGGCTGAGAGACTGACATGTAAGTTTTTGACCCAAAAGCAGCTGAGCCCTGAGGATTCTAACTCCCCAGTTAAAAGCGTTTGGGATCCTCAGAATAATGAAGGAGCATCCCATGACTGGAAAAAACAGCCCTTTCCAAAGGTCTGTGATGCCTTCCTCCGAGACACCTCAGAAAGGTGTACATCGAATAACAAGGACTCTACGGCAGACAGTCCATGCCATCAGGTTCCAGCCCCACAAACTACCTGCCCTCCCTGGGGCGTCAGCTCGCCAGTCACCAAAACAAATGCCGAGGCCCTCCCACCTCAGAAGAGAACCAAGCACAGTCAGAAGGTCCAGAGGAGAGGCCCACAGGGACAAGCAAGCCGGAAGGAAAGCACCCTGAGACAACCACAGAGGGGAAAAACGGCAGCACCGGCTAACAGACCAAACGCCCGGAGGCCAGAGGAGTGCTTGAAGCACATCGCCGTGGCGCTGGATCCAGGTCCTCCAGCATCTGTCTTCACCTTGTGCTGAGCTGTCTGCTTCCTGGGCCGCCCACTGACAGCCCTTTCCGTCTGTTGCAGTGCTTTTACAGATGGAAGGCGGCGGCCAGCTCCTCGGAGCGCTGCAGTCCATGGAGTGCTGCTGTGTGATTGAGGCGCAGGCCGTGCCCCGCAGCATCGCCTGGAGGAGGAGGGCCGGGCCGGCTGCGGTAGGGTTTCTGCTATGTCTTTCCTCTCCCTCCTCCCTCTTATACATATCAGTCAAGTCCCCGGTACAGCCCTAACCGGTTTGGCTCAGTGGATGGAGCGTCGGCCTGCGGACTCAAGGGTCCCAGGTTCGATCCGGTCAAGGGCACATACCCAGTAGGGGGTGTGCAGGAGGCAGCTGATCGATGTTTCTCTCTCATCGATGTTTCTAACTCTCTATCCCTCTCCCTTCTTCTCTGTACAAAAATCAATATTAAAAAACACACAACATCGTTTCTAACTCTCTATTCAGTGTGGATAGAGCATCGGCCTGCAGACTCAAGGGTCCCAGGTTCGATTCCGGTCAAGAGCATGTACCTGGGTTGCGGGCACATCCCCAGTAGGAGGTGTGCAGGAGGCAGCTGATCGATGTTTCTCTCTCATCGATGTTTCTAACTATCTCTCTCCCTTCCTCTCTGTAAAAACTCAATAAAATTTATTTAAAAAACAAACAAACAAAAAACACACAACAGATGGTACACTCAACTTAGGTAATACAGGAACTACTTTCCAAGGCGTGGGTGGGGTACAAGAAAACTGCAAAGGACAATGCAGTACTTCAGGGTGATAACAGTATTGATTCAGGTACTGTTGTCATTTCAGGTCATGCTGTTGTGCTGGGCTGTCCTGTGCACTGCAGAATATTTAGCAGCATCCCTGCCATTTACTCACTAGATGCCAGTAGCAACTTCCCCAGTTGTGACAATTGAAAATGTCTCCAGATGTTGCAAATGTTTCTTTGAGGAAAATCGCCCTGGTTGGGTACCACCAGGTTGTCATAGCGGTTATCATGCGTACGCCTGAAGGGATGAGGGGAGAGAGTGTTTACTGGAATCCAGAAGAGAAATGTAGAGAAGACCACCTTGGAAGAAGCTTGACCTCCCATAGAGGAGTGTAGCAAACGCTAGGTGATCCTACTGGGAGGGGGCCGGGGAAAGAGATACCCTGACTTCCCTTTCCTCCTTCCCTCCCTCTCTCCCTCCCTCCCTCCAGTCTCCAGGGCCACCAGCCAGAGGGCGTGTGGACTTTGTGACATGGCCTGTAGAGATCACCCTCCTTGGGCAGAGAGTGTGGGGAAGGGAGGAGAGTGATCTGCGGGGCAGAGGGAAGCTCATCTACACAGGATTCCTAATTCCCTCTGGGCTTTGAGAATAGGCGGGCTTGGTTTGAACTGCAGCCTTGTGGCTTTACGCCTATGACCCTGGGCAAATTATTTCATCACTTTGTGCTTCATGTATACAATGAGGATACTGTTACGTCCCTTTCAGTCCCCCCACCCTTGTTGTGGGGACTAACTGAGGTAACCAAGCACCAAGCACATAGTAGGCACATAGTACATGCTCCTTCCTGGCCTGGACACCCAGGTTACTATACCTCCTGTACCTTCCACTCCTCTTATCTGCGAATCCAAAATAGTCCACCCCACATTTTCAAGAGTCTATAGATGAAACATTATATTTTTGCTCTCTTGTTTGGATCTCATAATTTTCTCAGCCCATTTCAACTTGTAAATGTTCCTTTCTTTTTTTAAAAAAAATTGATAGCCTTTGTGTTGCCCATTCACTTTTGGAAACTAGTGAATGTGGTGTCAAAAAAGGCATAAACTACACACTTTGCAGCCCTTTCCTGCCCTTGAATTTGATGTCTTTGGTGGAGGAGCTGTGTAAGTAACAGTTTAAAAAAAATTGATTAAAAAAAATTGATTTTAGAGCGTGGAAGGGAAAGGGGAAGAGATAGAAACAAGGATGAGAGAGAAACATCAACATCAATTGGCTGCCTCCTGCACACCTCCTACTGGGGACCGAGCCCGCAATCTGGGCATGTGCCCTGACGGAATCCATCCAGTGAGCTCTTGGTGCATGGGGTGGTGCTCAACCACTGAGCCACACCGCCGGGCTCCTTTCTAATCTGCCTTTGAGATTCTGGACAGTTGATTGAGGACTGGGGAGGGACAGGATCATGGTTATTGGTTCTTGCTACCATGACTTCATTCCAGAAGAAAACGAATAACATAAAATGGGCTAGGCTGATGGGGGAGAGTTCCTTTAGAACAGCCGTCGCCAACTGGTGGTTCACAGCTCACTGGTGGTCCGTGAGGTCCGAAAGGTTGGCAGCCGCTGCGCTAGAAGGCCTGGGTCTCGCAGTGCTGAGCACCTGCTGACTATCCTCCCTCCGCTGGGTCCCGGTGCTTTGGCAGGATGGAGAGGAGGCCTGGGTGGAGGAGCCGATGGTCCTGGTGCTGCTCCCGGCAGAGGCGTTTGTGTCCATGATCCACAACTTCAAGCAGGTGGGCAGAGCCGGAGGGGTCGGCGCCGAGGCGGGGACAGAGGGCTGACTCTAGGCAGCAGACACTAATGCGGTTCCTGCCCCTCTGTGCAGGGAGGTCCAGGCAGCACCGAGAAAGGGACGGAAACACTACGGAGCTTTGTAGCAGACATCACGGCAAGGACAGCGGGAAAGGCTCTGTCACTGGTGATTGTGGATCCGGAGAAATGCTTCAGGTTTGGATTTGTCAAGACTTAGCATCAAAAGGGGCAGCTCTGGGGCCAGCAGGGGCGAAGTCGTTCATCCCAAATCTAGATCCTTCTGCCAGACAGCAATCCTGCTGAGCCCCGGGGGATGTGCTGGTCCAGGCTCCTTGCACCTCTTCTGCCTCAGCTCAGCCTGAAGGTGCTTGCTTCCCTTCTTCGATTTCCTCCCCTGCTTTAGTGCTCCACATCCTCCAAGGAGAAGGAAGCCGGGCGTGGCAAACGGAGAACAGGCCAAGGAGAAGAAGAAGAAACAGAGACCACCAGAGGCCAGCACAGGGCCCGGGGTGTCCAGGGTGGACATGGAGGAGGTAAGAGCGTCCTGTTGCCTGGGTCGGGCCGGGCACCCATTTTACTAACCCGATTTGCTATTGAGAAAGAGTGACATGCCTGCTGGCCAGTTCTCTCTGCCTTGGGACTAAGTAGGAGAGAATGGGCCGAACAGGAGCCAAGCGGGTGGGAACAGGGAGGAGAGAAGCCTCAGGGAACATGGGGGGAAGAAAAGCTTCGGACTAGTCTCGCCGCCCTTCCAGTCCATCTGCCTTTGGGTTTTAGGCACTGGTGGATCTGCAGCTACACACGCACGCCCAGGCCCGAGTTGTGCAGAGCTGGCAAGAGCTGGCCGACTTCGCGTGCTCGTTCACGAAGGCTGTGGCTGAGGCGCCCTTCAAGTAAGTGCCCAGGCCAATCCCAGCCCACTGTTGGGTCCGGTCCTTCACAGTCGTTCTGGTACCCAAAGATGCCCCTTTCCCTGAACTCTGCTGTCAGTCATTGTCTCAAGCTTGACCTCACAAGGGGGATTCTGGAGAAGACCCTCAGGCCCGGTCCCTTTCAGGTGTTCTGTGCTGCCAGTTGGTCCAGGTTCACCATTAGGCAGTTATCAGGATTCAGTGCAGGTCGGGTCACAGTGTGACAGCCTCTCGTAAAAATAAGTGTTAGCCTGCTTAGCTCAGGGAGTGTTCATAGTCAGAATTTAAGTGAGACCTCGGAGATCTATTCCAAGTCCCTCGTTTTCTACCTGAGGGAACTGAGGCCTGAAGAGACAGACTTAGCCAAGCTCCTAGCACGTTAGAACCACCAGAACTGACTGCGCAGTGCCTGAGGCCCAGGCCCAGGTGTTTGACCCTGTGCACTGCCTCTCCAGTCAGTGCAACCCAATCTCAACATAAACTAAAGATTCTGGTACTTTTCTGGTAACTTCTCTTTTACTGAAAAGGACTAGATGTTGTTTTAAGGGAAGCAGTAACTAGCGTTGCTTGGGATCAAAGTGAGCAAGATATAACCTTATGCCCACTTCTTCCAAGGTCACTGGAGGGAGGAGTTTTAAGTTCCCAGTTAGGGGACAGGTTCAGGAAAGTAAACAGTGACTCACGGCTCTTGATCCCTGCTATTTGCAGGAGACTCCGAGATCAAACTAATTTCTCCTTCTGCCTGGAGAGCGACTGGGCTGGAGGGGCGAAGGTGGACCGTGCTGGCAGGGGCCTTGCTCAGGTCTGGCGGAGGCAGATTCAGCAGCTGAACCGAGTCAGCCTGGAAATGGCCAGCGCTGTTGTGGCCGCCTATCCCTCCCCACAGCTCCTGGTCCAGGTATGCTGCTGGGGGGCCACCGCCCCGTGCCCTGTGGCCTTAGTGGGACTCCCAGATGGTTTTCACGGATAGCATTGGTGAGGGCCCAAGATTGCCTTGTTGGTCAACAATGCAGGTCTGCTGAGATCCGAGTTAACATTGACCTAGGGTGGGGGGACAGTTCTTATCCCCCGACCCAAGCTCACCACACACTTGTTCCTCGATGAGGGATGACTGTGAATGGTGTGGTATTAAGAGATCATTTTCCACCTTCAGGCTTATAGGCGGTGTTTTTCGGAGCAAGAACGCCAGAATCTGCTTGCAGACATACAGGTGCGCCGTGGGGAAGGCGTGACATCTACCTCCCGCCGTGTTGGACCAGATCTGTCCAGGCGCATCTACCTTCAGATGACCGCTTTGCAGCCAGATCTCTCTTTAGACAGTGCAGACTGAAGCTTAGCCCCAAGGGACAGGATGAAAAGCTGGAGATTTCTGCCTCAGGACATGACCAATGAAGAGAGGGAGGTGTCGCCTGGAGCACAAGCCTGGGTCAGGCCCACAACAGATCCTGGGTGCCATTGTGAAAGTCTCCCTACCTGTCAACTGGCTGAGATATTTGCATTTATCTTCACCAGCATTCAGTGTTCCTCTCCTGGCAAAAACCAAGTGCCATGCATGAGCCACCCCTGCCCCAGCCAGCCCTCAAAATACAAAGGAACACAGACAGGCCATTCAGACACATATTTAATAGTTGCAGAAATCCAAAAGAGCCTCAACATCAAGTCTTGAGATCATGAGTGAAGTGCCCTCGGTGGGGTGGCTTTCTAGGCTGGGCATCCAGCCCTGTTGGCCCACTGAGGCTGCCTCAACCAGCCAGGGAACGGGTCTGATCACTATGCCGACTTCTGTATTCTCTCCGTCTTATATGTACTATGTGTTTAGTTTCAATAAAGCATTTGTACCAGTGGCTCTGGAGCTCAGAGGAAGACTAAAGGAATGTGTAGTGATCCAGAGTAAGGGGTGGGCCTATACAGCAGAGCTGTCCTTGGGGGAGAAAAGCCATTTCTTTCAGGATCAGGACAGTCACAACTGGCAAACCTATCCAGTGGGACCACTAAGCCTAAAAAGCTGGAGCCCGTACTCTTCATCTCTGAACCTGAACAACTTCTTGCTGTCCTTGGCAAGGGGCAAGGAACTTGCAGTCGGGAGTTTCAGGGAGTGGGCACCATGACATGGCCATTCCTGATCCCTTCATCCAGCTGTTGTCAAAGATGAAGCAGAGGAGGCCACGGAGCAAGAAAACACTTACTCTAGCCAAAAGAGAGTGACAGCCCTGCCCTTCATTGCACAAGTCATTAGCGTTCCTGACCACCTTTAAATGCCTCGATGCTCCTGGATTCCCTTCGCTGCCCAGGTAAGTTCTAGGGCTGGAATCAAACCGTTTTAAACCTCAGCCTCTGACGCTGGAGTGTTCAGGTTGCCTTTGAGGTATTTAGTCACACCAACTAACAGCTGTCACAGAAGGCGAAGGCTTTGCATGGCTCTGCCTTGTTCACTGGCAATGGGGAAGTTAATGCTCTAAAATCGAGGCATTTTATGGAAGTCACGTAAGTAGGGGCAGGACTCCACAGGAGCTGCCCAAGACCCTCAAGGCTATGAGATTTCTACTTGTGGGTCATGAATCTGTCTACATGAAAGATTCCACTCTCTGGCTGAGAGATACTCCATTCTGGCCTCTCAGGACGTTTTAAGGAAGGCAAAATTATGGAAAAGAAAGAAATACCAGAGTGGAAGCGCAGTTCCCTCAAAATAGCTGGGAGACCATAAGCAAGTCACAGAAGGCCTCAAGTTCCTTATCTGCAAGTGTTCTATTGGACTGCATAGTCTAGAAGTCCCCTTCTGAGCCTGGGACGGTACAGTCATTAAAATGTCTGAATGCCTGAGGCCCTTAAGAAAATAGGTATGCCCCTCCCCTCCGATGTGCTGAGCATGGTGTCCTAATCCCCAGTGATAACCCACTGCCTCTTGATCTGCCCTGGGTCCCCAGGGAGGAATGAAAGGGTTTGTGACACACAAAAGTGTAAATGTAGTGACGGCTGACCACTCAGGAGAAATGAGCCTTGCCTTTACAGTTCTGTATAACAACTAGAAAAGGCTGTTCTTCTCCCCATCCCCAAGCCTATTCCTTTAGGCCTGAGGTTATTTCCTCTCCCTAACTCCCACTTCGTATTCCACCAGGGAACCCTGACTCAGGAACAAAGAAGTCCTACAAAGAGGAGGTCTCAAGTACCAATCAGCAGCCATTTAATGACGGCAGGTAGGTCTGACGCTAAAAAGAGGTTGTGTCCAGCAGAACCCAATTCCATAGGAATCCAAGTCCCAGGGCTGAGAGGCAGCAGGTGTTGAGGACACGCTCATTGCTGGGGGTCGGTCTGCAGGACCCACTGGAGGATGTGGTGGCTGCGCAGACCCCGGATCGCATTGTCGTAGATGGTGTTCACGCTGGTGCAGAGGGGCTGCTGCTGCAGCTCCGTCACCCGGCACGCCACCAGCCCGCCCGCCACGCACAGCAGCAGCAACAGCAGCAGCTTCAGCACCGCCCAGGACCGGGTGTGCTTCCGGGGTGGCTGCTTCCGGGACCGAGAGCCGGACTTGGATTCTGGAGTGACAGAGTCACAGGAGACAAAAAGGTTCAGTCAGTTTGAGGAGACCCACACTCTCCACCATTCAATGCTGTTCTCTTCCATGCAGATCCATGAACACCCCTCTTAGGCATGAATATTGTTTTAAGAACATCTGAGCTCTTAAAAACTTGCTATGTGCAGACTGACATATAAGCTGCCTTCTCCTTGGATTCAAGGGGAGACATTCAACACTGGAACGCATTCTGGACGTCTCACATGGCGCACACAGCCCCAGGGTCCTAAGTCCTCCTTGAAAACATGGTGATGCTCCAGGCCCCTCAGGATCAGGGGAGGGGCTTGTCAGGAGGCAAGGATGGAGGGCTGCCCACTTGGGGAAACACTTTTAAGACTTTTATTTTTTTAATTATTGATTTTTAGAGAAGCATCGATTTGTTGTTCCACTTATTTCTGCACTCATTGGTTCTGTATGTGCCCTGATCTGGGATTGAACCCACAACCTTGGTGTATCAGGACAATGCTCTAATCAACTGAGCCATCCGGTCAGAACCTTGAGATATATTAATATTGTTAATATCATACAGGGTGGCGCAAAAATAGGTTTATAGTTGTGAATACATGAAACCGTTTGTTTTTGTATTTTTTATTAATTACGGTATTATTTTCCATAGGAACAACTATAAACCTAATTTTGTCCCACCCTGTATAAGATACATATAAAAAAAAAACAGTGATTACTGCTGGGAATGAGGGATTAGAGGTGACTGCCATTTTCTGATCTATTTAGAGAGAACTTTTCTACATTTTCTGCAATGAACTCGTATATTACCTTTATAATTAGGAAAAAAATGGTTTTGAGATTACTCGGCAACATTTAAAAGAGCCTGACTGAGCACCTCATGTGAGAATTCATGATGTTCTCACTTTATCCTGTCACTGCCCTGGAAGAAGGAGGATCCTCATTTTACACAAGGAAACAAAAAGGGGTGAGGTCAGGCAACTTGCTCAAGGCCAGCAAGGGAAAGCAGGGCCTCCGCCTCCCTCCAGAGCTCCCCTGCTCAGGGGTCCCTTTGGCCCAGAGGGTATACGACCCTCCCATGTACAAGGAGCCACATAACAACACAGATTCAACTGGACACACTCAGACAAAACGCTAATGTGTCTTTATACCACATGGCTCCCTGAACATGGACCAAATGATTCCCGTGGTGTTCAAGCAAAGAGAGTAATTTGTTCCAACGCGGAAAGAAAGCCGTAGGCAGTGCTGGCTTTGCTGAGATGGCACCACGCTCACAAGGCACGCCCAGTACTTCACGGATGATGCGAGGGACTTAAGAGTCATGTGACCACATGCATCCTTCACCTTTCTTGGTGACTTTAGAGTCTAACTCTTGCCCTAGCCAGCTTGGCTCAGTGGATAGAGCATCAGCCTGTGGACTGAAGGGTCCCAGGTTTGATCCCGGCCAAGGGCACATGCCTGGGTTGCGGGCTCGATCCTCAGTGGGGGGTGTGCAGGAGGCAGCCAATCAATGATTCTCTCTCATCATTGATGTTTGTATCTCTCTCTCTCTCTTCCTCCCTTCCTCTCTGAAATCAATAAAGAAATACATTTTTTAGAATCTAACTCTTACAAAAAAGTGCAATTCCCTGTCCTGGTAATGCTCTCAGCTACATCTGACCAAAACCCCACATGTGCCTCTGGGGGAACAAGCCAGCCAGGCCCGATTCTTGTTCTCAAGGAGAATCCCCCACGCCTCGTAAGCAAACCCTCCGAGGTGCTCCCAGGCCCGAGGGGTCACTGGATCTGACCAGTGTACAAGGTTGCCCACGCCGGAACACATCCGTGCGCCTCCCCACTGCCCCTGCCAGAGCCTGACTGAGGGACACTTACTCGATGCCTGATTCGTTTCCTTCTTGGGTTTCTTCTCGGGCTCCCGTTTGGATGCTTTGAGGGCATCGTACTCCTTCCTCCGGCGCTCCTTCTCTTCCGCCTTCTCCCGCTTGCGCACCTCCCGCTCCTGAGCCTCCTTGGCGCGCTGCTTGGCCTCCCGCTTCTTCTCGGCCTCTACAGGAAAAGATCCCCCGATGGCTTCTCTCCCCACACCTCCAGTGAGCTTTCCCGAGCGATTAAAAGCATGGATTCCGCCTCCCTTCCCCTAGCCAAGGGTCCCAAAGGACACGAGAGGAACCAGCTGCCTTTCCGCCCTCCCTGCAGTATAATAAACGGCTCTCAGGTTTGCTGAATGGACTCATGAGGGGGCTTCTAGCCACAAGCTGCAAAGAGATCAGGGTGAGCTGACAAGAGGGGCATAGGCATGGGTGATGAGGCCGGTGCTCCCCGAGAACAGGTACCGACTCAGAAAGCACAGCGATCGACAGCCTCCTACCACTCGGCTCTGAGCAGAAGAAACAACGGAGGTGTTGAGTCCACGGGAGTCCTGTCTCCCCGCGCTTGGGGAAGGAATGTGGCTTGAGAAGGACAAGCAAGAAGAGAAAGTGAGCACTCAGGTTCAGGGGCAGAGACGATGGAAATGTTTTTCTGAAACAGCGAGATGAATAGTTCGTCATGTCTAGACTTATTCTGATTTACTTCACAGTTCAAAGATGTTTACACGCAGTCCCCAACTTACAAATTATTGGGTTCTAAAAATGCATTGCCAAATTCGTTATTTGGACATCTCAAGTACATTTTTCCAAAGCCAGAAGGCCACAGGTGGTGGCTAAATGTCCTTTTAGGGCTTAAAGGCCTGTTTGAACCATCATGTAGCTGAATAGTAGCACTATAAGGACTGTAGCTTTCCACTGCCTCTCTGAACAAACAGGCTCCCAGTTCCAGCTGAGCACTGGGAATGCCAAGAACACGCTACACTCAGCCTCCAGAGAGCCTGGGCGAAGCAGTGGAAGCAGCAGAGGTCGGAGTAAACACGCATTACAGTGGCCATGCCCGTGTAAGGAACAGTCGTAACTCAGCTCTGACCTCCGGGACTGCAGTCAGCACCACAGGAGCCAGCCAGGCAGCGACAGCGCCGGGTGCCAGGCCTTGTTCTAAGTGCTCAAGATACAGCCGTGAAGACAAGCCAGGCTCTAGTGCCTAAGTCACCTACTCTGGAGAGGAGACGAACAATAAGTGAGCAAATAGTAAAAAAGAAATGTGCCACAGAGTAAACGACAGAGGACGTGAGGGAGAGCAACACGTGGGATGCTGTTCTAGTTTGGGTGGTTCAGGAAGGGTTAAGGTTAACCTAAGGCAACATTTGTGCAGACATGAGGGATTACATGAAACCGACTGTGGAAAGCTCTGAGGGAAAAGGAAGCCAAGCAAAGCCCCAGAGGTGAGACTACCTGGTGCGTTCCAGCAAAAGCAGGAGCCTGTGTGGCTGAAGTTAACTGTATTCTGTGTGTGTGTGTGTGTGTGTGTGAGAGAGAGAGAGAGAAACGGGGGGCAGGCAAGGCTGGAGAAGCAAGCAGGCGTGGGCTGTGGCGGGTCTTGACGGCCATCTTACTGAGTTTGAGTTTCATTCAAAGTTCAATTGGAAGCCATTAGAGGGTTTTAAACAAATAGCAGCATAATTGACTTGTTTTAAGATTTCTCTGGCTGCTGTGTGGAGAAGGACTTTGCAGAGAAGGCACACGTGTGGAGACCGGATATTGTGTCAGGAGGTACTGTGGCAGTCCACGGGATGGAGGCCTGATTATGGTGCTGGCCCTGGAGGCGGGGAAATAGTCACATACAAACATGCTGACGGACTGGGTGTAGGAGTAACAGGAGAAAGGAATCAGGACAACTCTCTGTTCCTGGCTAGAATGACTGCAGGGATGCTGATTTCCTCTTCTGGGGAACACTGCGAGGACCTGTGCAGCCAGGCCGAATCTGAGATGCCTATTAATCCCCCAGGCAGACAGACAGACAAGCAGTGGAACGTGACTTTGGAGCTGAGTGGAGAAACCAAGACTGGAAAGAGGTTCGTCAGACAAAGATGATACTGTCTATCCCACACTGCTCCCCACTGCTCTGCACGACTCCTCCACTGGATCCGGCTTCTGAAGCAGGACCAGGGGCTGGATCAGGGCCCGGAAGATGACTGGAAGAGGGATGGCCACCTACCGCGTTCTACTTCCTGCCGCCGCTGCCTCTCTCGCTCCTGATCCGCCTGCACGACCTTCATGTGCTGTAAAACCTGCAAAGGCAGAAGAGGGCGCTCAGGGACTCCGCGCAGTGGCCTACAGCTCCACTCTGCTCAGGGAAAGTCTCAAAGGACTGCTCTTCTCCAGATCCCAGATCAGCGCAAGCCCAACACAGAGAAGAGCTAATGGAGCTAACCCTCTGCGTGTCCCAGCTTAGTGCCAACCCTGGAGAAGAGTCTAGGAGCCCCGCTCACTACAGCTGTCAGGAAAAGACACTGAACTCGGTGACCACTGGACTCTGTAAACCCCTGCCACTTACAGTCTCTGATGTGCACAAGTTCATAATTCTTCATAATTCTCCCCGCAACTCTGTGACGAGCATGGGCTGCTCTGTGACGAGCAGGGACAGTTCCCCAAGATGCTTTCCGGATCTCCCTCCTCTGGCTGCCTCAGGTTCCCCTCTCCTCAGTCCTGGGGAGTTTTCTCATCTAACTCAGTTATAAGACTGTGAGTTCCTAAGTGTAGGGACAATTGTCCTGTTTGCAGGCGAGCACAGAGCTTAGCTAATTATAGGCACTCAATACATGTTTGATGAACAACTGACAGACTGGGTATAGGAGTAACAGGATTCCCATTTCAAAAGGAAGAAAACTGAGACTCGGGGCAATCTGTCCACACCTCGTGGGCTGGAAGCAGCACAGCTGGGAGGGCAGGTCTTCTGAGTTCCCAGACCAGAGCCTGTCCCACTCACTGGTGCAGAGGCAGGAGAGCTTGAGGAGAACGGGAAGGAGCCATTCTGCCCAAACACCACACCACGCACTGGCGCCTGAGCCCCTCGAATTCTCAGCTAGTCGCGGCTGACTTCTCATTTAAAAAACCGCAGATTCTCATGATGGGCACGGTTAGGGGAGGAGGTAAACGCCTTGTTATTGTTTTAGCAGCTGACATTCCTTGGATGTAGGGGACATAGTACAAGCTTGGAGCCCAATACAATCCTGACTCTTACTTACTAACAGCGTGACCTTAGCAAGTGACTTAATTTCCCTCCCTCCCTCCCTTCCTCTCTCTCTCTCTCTCTCTCTCCCTCTCTCTCTCTCTCCCTCTCTCTCTCTCTCTTTCTTTCTTTGACTCACCTTTCTGAGCTGATTTTCTCATCTGGGAAACAGAGATAAGACTCCTCTGGCCTGTTGCAAAGATTAAATTACATAACTTGTACTAGCTGCCTAACATAGCCCCTGGCATTATGAGAGCTCAATAAATACTGCTGCTTTTTTACTTCATCTTTCTAACCACATGAATGAGGAGAGGAAAACCTAAACTATTGTAAATTACAACAGCAAATGGTCTGCATTTCACTACTGCACTAGACACCCTACAGGACAGACATGTATTCAAATGCAATTGTTTTACTTCGTGGGAACTTCAGACATACACACGCCCATCATGAGAGGGCTCAGGGGCAGGCCTGCCAAAGCAGCTCCCTCCAAGGGTCTGGTTTGAAGCCACAAGGAACCATCCTGTGTAACCCAGGAGTCCAATCTCTTCTCTCTGAAGGGAATCAACTTCCTAAAAATTGGCTTCTCAACGAGGAGTGACAGGATCTGGAGGGAGGTAAAGCATGAAGGAGGCAGTCCCTGTGTCACCCTGAATTTTAAATAAGCATCAACCATTCAGTTGGTTTTGGGGAGTGTACAGCTGGCTAATAAAGAGCTAGGAGGTTTAAGAGACGTCCCTTTGCCTGGCTGGTTTGGCTCACTGGATAGAGTGTCGGCCTGGGGACTGAAGGGTCCCAGGTTTGATTCTGGTCAAGGACATGTACCTTGGTTGCGGGCACACCACATCCACAGTGCACTGTGCTACCTGGGGCTTTGTCTGCAAGATATGTGTGAGTACTCCTCAAGACCTTCGCACTCAATAAAAACTGTTTCTATAGGTCACACACTGTAGAGTATCAGCAGTTTCATATGGTTCAATGTATTGTTTGTTGACCAAATGGACAAATGAAAGGCCTGTGCACAACGAGGGTGTCTAGTGTCAGAGATATGAACACAGACTTCCCGCGGAGCATGCAGTGCCGAGACGGTAGTCAATGGTAGCTACTACTGTTCTTCGAAACCGTCACTCCTAAAGCACCACGTTTTCAAAATGGGACTTCACTGATCACCTGCAGTGTCATCAGCCACAGACACACTGTCGCCTTGGTTACTTGGCTGCCTTAATTTTGCTGTTGGTTTCTTATAACAATAGGTGGTACAGATGATGGGACTATCTAAGAAGCCCTGACCTAATGATAAGAAAGTCCATTACTCTCGAGATTCCTATAGAGACTCATCATACGCACATTTCACTTATATTAATTCTTGCTTTTAAAGTTAAGGCCTTTTTGTTCACCATCTAAGCAAAAGCCAAAGTCAGCTGGTGCCCAGCGGAAGCAGCAGCAATCGGTTCTGAAGCAGGAGGGGAAAATGACTAGAGGTGGGGATTTTTGAGAGATGGGAGTAGTGCTGTTCTTAGCCATGTGAGGCGTCTTCAAGGTTACTGGCAATGTTTGTCTTCCATGCTGCCTTTATTTCCTCGCTATTTCACATGACTCGACTGAAATCAAATGCCAGGACTGCAAAGGATACATCTGTTTATAGCTATAAACTCACAAATACGGGCCTAGCCTGTTTGGCCCAGTGGATAGAGCGTCGGCCTACGGACTGAAGGGTCCCAGGTTCGATTCCGGCCAAGGGCATATGCCTGGGTTGCGGGCTCAATCCCCAGTGAGGGGTGTGCAGGAGGCAGCCGATCAATGATTCTCTCTCATCATTGATGTTTCTATCTCTCCCTCTTCCTTCCTCTCTGAAATCAATAAAGAAATATATTTTAAAAAAAAAACCTCACAAATACGAACAATACCTTTATTATCAAAGTTCCTTTCTGTGACTCAGAAAGGCCACTGCCCCTAACTCTCTGGCCCCATTCAAACAACAGTGACAGTGAAATGTTGGATCAGGGAGGTCCGGGTTCCTTAAGAATGGAAGGTCTGCAGTAGAGCCAGAGTAGTATTGTTCTACTCCTTGTAAAGTAAACACAGAAACAAAGGTCCCATTGCTTGCCAGGTTCATAGAAGACAAACGTACTGAGGAGACCTTAGCACGTTAATCAACACACAGCTACGGGTGCCCTGGAAGGGAAAACAAGAGGAGGCAGAGGCGAGTCCCAGGAGAGTCTGTGAAAGAGACACCAGTGTGTGTGTGTGTGTGTGGGGGGGGGGGGGGCTTACCTTGTTGGCACACTGCTTACACTGCTTCTCATCCAGGCAGTCCCCTGCCACTTTGGCCAGGGCAGGATCCAGGGGGTTATCCTTCAGGTCCAGCCACTTCAGGCTCTAAAGAGATGGGGCAAAAATAAAAAAATTAAGAGACGGGGCATTGAGACTGGCTAAGCGAGTTCACACTCTGAGTCCCTCCAAGTGGAACAAAACGAGTAGGGAGAGAGCTCCTCTGTCCCAGCTGTAGGAAACACCATGAGGTCAGCCTTTCTCAAAGCCGTGGTCCAGGAGACCCTGAGCCTCCCTTGGCCATCCCTGGCCATGAAGCACTGGTTCGTGAATTGTTACCTTGAGCTGAGCAAAGCTGACAGGCAGGGTAACCAGTCTGTTTTTGAGGAGATCCAGGTGCTGGAGGTTGACCAGACGGCCGAAGTCGGCTGGCAGTTGCTGCAGTTTGTTCTTACTCAGGTCCAGCTTCACCAGGTGTGTGAGGCCACAGAAATCCGACTAGGACCCAAAGAGAGAACACCTAAGCCTGGCGCTCACACACTGGAGAACAGCCCAGGAGCCCCCAGCTCAGAGGCCCCTACTAGTAGGTGTAAATCCTGACTCTACTTTTTACCAGCTATTCCATCTCAAATGAAAATGGACATAATGAGCATCACTCCTGGTCGTAAGTAGTGAGAAGTGTATGCAAAAGGGCTGAGCACAAAGTAGCACAAAATAAATATGGGTCCCTTCACCCTCAGTTTTCCCTCTAACCCAGTGGTTCTCAGCCTTCTGGCCCTTTAAATACAGTTCCTCATGTGGTGACCCAACCATAAAATTATTTTCGTTGCTACTTCATAACTGTAACTTTGCTACTGTTATGAATCGTAATGTAAATATCTGATATGCAGGATGGTCTTAGGCGACCCCTGTGAAAGGGTCATTCGACCGCCAAAGGGGTCGCGACCCACAGGTTGAGAACCGCTGCACCTGTCCTCCACATTGCTACTAGACTGGCTGGAGACACATTCTGTCCTCACACACCACCCTATGTCCACCTTTCATAGCAGCTGTCAAAACATAGCGAGACCATCCACTTTCCTAAGATCAAGTGCCCCTTGAATACCAGTGTTATTCTTTTTATTTTTGTAGCACTTAGCACAGTACTCAGCACAGGTGCCCTGTGAGGGTTCTTTAAATGACTGGCTGAGGCACACCCTACCCATATCCTGGCTCTTCTTCAGCTCATGTCAAAACATCCCTCTTGTCATTAAGCCTTCAAGGTACTATTCGTGTTCTCTGGGGACTTGTAAACGCCAGGGGACCTGCACTGCCGAGGAAGGCAAGACAACTGATTGAAAAGTACACGTGGGAGTGCTGAGTGACCATCGACAAAGTGTACAGCAGGTGTCAGGTTGCAAGGAATTCTGCCCTTCTTTAATTCAGCACAAAATACTTCCTGGGACAAGTGGGAGCTCAGATGCCTTTTCAGTATTAAAAATGGTTCTTGATGAGCCGTGGGATGATGCTACAGACAATGAGTGAGGTCCAGGTGAGTGCCGAGAGGGGAATGGACTAACGACCCAGAGAAGAAACTGCCAACTCCCGAGACTCGATTCCTGAGTAAATGAGTGAATATCAGAGAATGTAAGAAGGGACTTGGCCAGGGTAATGGATGGGAAAGGCAACCATGACAACCCCTTAGCCCTGACTGCGAGGGAGACTGCTATGGAGGAGAAAGCACATTACCCAGGAGAGGCTGAGGGATAAGCGAGTCCAGCGCCTACACAGGTGCACAAAGGAGAACTGGTACAGAAACATCAAAAGGATTTGACCATAGATTGGATGTGCTTATCTCAAGCAATTAAAGACTGAAAGGATAATGACACAGGAGTCCCATACGACCACGCTTTTTCCTGTTCCCATTAACTGTTGCACCAGGAAGCTGTTTATAAGCAGCTTTCTCTCTGAAATGCATAGCAATTTAAGAAGTTCTCCAGTCTCCTCTATGAAATAGGGAGATAAACTATTTTATAAAGTAATAATATCAGGCAGAAAAAAGGGTGAGCCCAGTAAGGGACTCAGCCAGCATCCTGTTGTTGACTTTAGTTTTCTGTGGCCTGACTTTCCCACTGTTCTAAAGAATGAGGCCCCTACCTTGCTTTCCTTCCCACTGAGATGACTCCACCCCCAAAACACTCAGATTTAGCTGAAGGCTGCCTGCAGGCCTAGCCTGAAACTATGCCTATGACACAACTTCTCCAAACAGGACGATGAAGCATCAGGGCTCCAGAAGGAATTATGCGTGCTTGCTGGTCTTACCGGGAGAGTAGTCAGTTTATTGCAGGACAGATCCAGTATGGTGGCCTTTGGAAGGGCAGCCTAGGAAAGGGAATGAGAACCAAACATCAAATCAACACATGAAATGATTCAGTGACATCTGCTAAGGAAGCATTTACCAGTTCCCACGATCAGTAAAGGCCTTAAAAAAAAATTAACACTAAAGTATAATGTTCCTAGGGATAGGAGAGGAAAAATGAGCCAAGCAACCAAAGCCTAAGGAAGAAGGCAAATAGGGGTTTGGCTATGGAACATCCAAGAAAGGAAAACAGATTCTTAAGGAATTCTCCTTAGCATTTCTAATATTTTCTCTAGCGCCCTTCCTTATTTGTTTTAACGAAGGGACTGTGTCTAATATGGCTTTGCAATTTCCATATTCCCTAGTTCAGGCCTTCTGGGCTCTCAATATACATGTTGGCTGGTTCATGACTGAATGAACGAGTAAACGAGTGACTATCAGAGTGAAAATAAGGCCCTCAGGCCCCATCTCCATTCTCCCTGGTGTTCAGGACGGGAGGAGCTCAGCGAAACCCACCCTCTTTCTCCCTAGGGGCAAGGCTGCGCCGACCAGATGCCTGGAGTACACGGTTCCCACGGCAGTCCTAGGGCCAGGTGGAAACAAGGCTGGCCATCTTCCCGGGGTGGGAAAGAAGCCAAATACTCCGATAAAGGACCCTGGGCCAACCTACACTTTCCAGTTGTCAGAAAGTCCCAAGAATAAGTCTGACCACCTAAAAAAAGTTTTAGATTTTACAGTGGGAAGAAAGCCATCATACCTACATGTTTCAGCATCTGCTACCTGCCAACAGTTCACACCACAATCGTACCGAATCCTCATAACCTCTATGAGAGGAGAACTATAATCCATTTTATAAATGAGTGAAGTAGGTTGCCAAGGGCACTCAGCTATGAAGCAATGGGGAGCTGACATGTGAACTGGGAATCCTGTGCTAACTCCACCCTACACAGCCAAGGCGGAGGGAAGGCTGGGTCCAGTGCCAAAGGCCCTGACAAAAGTCTACGTCATCCCAAGTGAGGCCGGCGAGGAAGGCGCAGGTGGGGCATCAGGTGGGAAAAGCAGGGATGCCCCATCTCACTCACTCCACGATGGCAACCAGTTGGTGTAATCTCCTAAGGGCCTCGGACCTCGGTCTCCTGGGTGGGAGGGTGAGAGTAGGGGGGCTGGAGGGGTGGGCCCCCGGGCAGGGGATGCCGGTCAGTTTCAGCCCAGTGGGCAAGAGACCTTGCCAACCAGGCAGGGAGGCCTCACCTTCTTCAAGGAAGGACGCCTCGGGGCTGGGGCGGCCGCCTGGGCTGGCCGGCTCCCTACGAAACCCTGGCTCCGGGCCACACCCCGGTCCACCTGGAGGCCTCCTTCTCAGACCTGGTCATTCATTCATTTGCTCATTCATTCTCCCAATACTCCGTGGGCGCCTCCCGGGGGTCTGGCACGG